AAGAAGAGTGAAAAAGAGAGGAGGAGGGAGGAGAGCAAGAGCAGGTCAGGCTCTACAGGAACAACAGCTACAACTCACCGGAAGCATTTCCCAGGGGCTGTACGTCCTGCCCTCCCCGACCGCTGCTGGGCAGCAGCCTTAGAGATCTGAGTGACGACGAGGCTCTCCATGCCGCTGCGGGGGTTGAAGGACTTCTGCTTGACGAAGCCCGGGTCGATGACGAAGACGATGCCGTCGATGGTGAGCGACGTTTCGGCGATGTTGGTCGCAATCACAACCTTGCGCGCACCAGGCGGAGTGTCCTCGAAGATCTTCGCCTGCTCGTGGGAGGGGAGGGTGGAGTAGACGGGGAGGATGATCAGCTCACCCAGCTTCGTACCAAAGCCCTTGGTCCTCTCGTTGAGCAGCTCGACCGTCGCTTCGATCTCCTGCTGCCCCGGCATGAACACAAGGATGTCGCCCTTCCCTTGCGTCACGTGGATCTGCAAGACGGTCACGACCGCGGCCTCCAGGTAGTTCGCCTCCGGCGCTTTCGTGTAGAAGACGTCGACGGGGTAGCGACGACCGGGGATGGTGAAGATGGGAGCGCCGTCGAAGTACTCGTGGAACTTCTGGGCGTCCATGGTAGCGGAGGAGATGAGCAGCTTCAGTTCTCCCAGCTCAGAGTCCCTGTGACGGAAGCGAGCAACGTCCTTCACCAGGCCGAACAGAACATCCGTGTGCAGAGTTCGCTCGTGCGCCTCGTCGACCATGATGACGCTGTAGGAGGCCATGTCTGGCTCCCCAAGGAACTCGCGCAGCATCATCCCGTCGGTCATGTAGATCAACTTGGTCTTCTCCGACGTCGAGTCCTCGAAGCGGATCTTGTACCCCACGTCGTGTCCCAGCTTGCAGTCCATCTCGTCTGCCACCCTCTTGGCGACACTCATGGCCGCCACACGACGAGGCTGCGTGCATGCAATCTTGCTGCCTCCATCGCAGTATCCCGCCTCGATCAGGTACTGCATGATCTGAGTCGTCTTGCCCGACCCCGTCTCCCCCACGATGATCAGAATCTGCTCCCCGTCAGCAGGCCCTGGGCACACCAACTTCACCTCACCTGCTCCTCAGCGATGGCATCCAGCAGCTGCTGCCTGTAGGGATAGATCGGCAACGACATCCTCTCCTCCATCATGCTCCGATGCCTCCGCTCCTTCACGCTCTCCTCGTCGGGCTCCTCCAGGTAGTTCACCTCTGCAGAGGAGATGGCGTCCTTGACAAAGTCGACCTGCAAGCAACAGGTCACGGCACACTGGCTCGTGGAGCCTCCATGGGGCACCTGGTCTTCCAGCACGAAGTCGTACTCCGAGCCCCGCTGGTGCTTCTCAGCCTTGTGCCCTACCCGGATGGAGGCATGCTCGATCTAAGAGACGAGTCAGACTTCGAATCTCACGACTTCTACCTTCAGTCGAGACTGCGCTCAAGATGGGAGGGAGAGGGGCGGCGGGCAGACCTGCAGTCCCTCGTGGACGTCTTGGTCGGTAGGCAAGACGTTGTCTTCGATCTCGTCGTATCGGTTGTCCAAGACCTGTCGGGTCCCGGCAACTCAGCACATAAAGGGCTGACAGGTCAAACTCACCTTGTATCTCCTGCTGCGTGACTCCGGCTTCGTCGTGTCATCGTAAGACTCTGACACACATCAGCGACTTTGAATGGCACAAAGGCAAGAGTTTCTGACCTGGCATCACATAGTTGGGAGTCTTATCGATGGTATCATTCCTGCATGCCGAGGTCAAGAGCAACAAGCACAGCTAGGGGTCAGAGCTGACCTTTGCTTCACAAGGTCCAAAACTCTTTGCTTCACAATGAAGTCTCTCTTCTCCTTTGCCGTCAGTTTGATGCCCTCGAACAGGCTGCACGGGAACTTGTCAATCATCGAGCTTCACAAGAACACAACTCACCGCTTCTCATCCTCAATGCTCTCCACAAGCTCGTCTGCGCATCTCAACGTCACTCCACCAGTGACCCCACGGAGGCTGCTAAACCTATCTTCTTGTTCTCTCGCTTCTCCAGATACGCCTGACGAGAGACTATCCTGCTTTCTTCGAAGATGAAGTTTCGCTCCTCTTCGGTCAGTGTGCGATGCTCCCCCGTCTCCTCGTCTTTGACCATGAAATCGTCCTGGCGGACGCTTCTCAACAAGCCAAGAACGACACATCGACACTGGTTTCTCACCTTCTCAGCCACGAGCTTCTTTGTCTTCTTTTCATCTCGAACTTTCAGCCTGTTGACGAAAGCATCTCTCTCAGCAAGATCGCGGATCCTCTCCAGCTCTTCCATCTCCCATTCCTCCAAGGCTTCATCCTCGTCTTCAATCTAACAATCAACTCTCAGGCGCGTCAGACAAGTAAGAGGCGACAAGAGACCTTGGGCTTCTTCGAGGATGGCTCGTCCTTCTGACCATTGTCATCATCTTCATCCTCATTCCACTTTGTCTTGCGAAGATTTCGCTTCTTCTCTTTCTTCTCGCGTTTCATCTCCTTACTCTCCAGCTTTCGTAGGTTGTCGTTGGCTCGGTTATCAACTTGGATGTCGTCGGCGTCATCATTCAGCAACGTGTACTCATTGTTCTTCTGCAGCATCTCGACCTGGACATCAACGTCACACTATGGCAACGCCGCGAGAACGGCAACAACAAGGACCTGCTTCCTCTGCCTCTCCCTCTCCTCCTGCTTCTGTTTCGCCGCTTTCTCTGCTGCGCGATTGTCCGCCGCCTTCGGCACGCTCTTCATCAGCTGCAACGCAAATCTCCTGCTCTCGTCATTGATGGGGACATCGTTGTCACGAAGTGCCGCCATGAGAGCTGCTTCATCTCTGCTCGTCGTGTCAAATGGCCAACGCAAGAATATGCATGCTCACCTGGATTTCTTCGCCAAGGCGATCACATAGTCGACAAGGTTGCTCTCGGACATACCAATCAGCCCATGGAGCTGATCGCCAACCCACTTCTTGAGATCTGCCATCTTCAAGAGATGAACAGAACAAACTCAAGGAAGCGGTAAGCGCAATGAGGTAAGGGGTAGTTCGTGTTCCGACTGCAAGTCGATCGTCACAAGATCATTAGCACGCAAGAGTCAGCGCCAAGCTGTCTGCTCGTTTCTGGTCTACATCAACCTCGTCCTGGAAGCTCTACAAGCCTTTACATGTCCCTAAGATTTTCTGCCGGATACAAATACACTTTTTATGAAGAGTACCCGCTATTGAGCTCCGTTGATTTGAGTCACTGCTTGAATCCCCCGATCCCAGTCTCTCTTCTGAGCTCATTGGAATCTCTTACTTCTCTCCTCCATTCGCCCACTCACCCGCTCTGCTTCCACCCATCCTATCTCCCCACTCCAATCCCCTCGTCCCTCCTCGTCCCTCCCTTACACTCCTCCCTTCTCCCTCTTCCTCTCTCATCCTCCCTTGCCCTTCTCCTCTCTGGGGTACCATCTACCTCGCTTTCCTCACCGATCCTTCTCTTCTCCATCCTCTTCTCTCCTCTCCCCTCCGCTCTCCCGCCCATCTCCCTGCATGCTTCCTCTCATACTGGCACCTCATCCCCTCGCAGACCTCTCCCTGTGATGAGCCAGTCTGCCTCAGAGGCTGCCGCTCTGAGCCGCCGGGCCGCGCAGCCGCCGGGCGTTCGGAAGTTCCGAGTTCAACCGGGCCGGCGGCTGAGCGGCGTTCAATTCAGTGGACAGGCTTGGGAAATGATTGCAGTGCGGCCGGCGGCCCCAGCCCGCCGCACCGTGACTGGCATCCGACTTGAGTCCGGCGTCACGTACCGAGCCACGGCCCTCCGTCGCTCACACTGCCCGCTCGGAGCGCCGGGCGGCGCCGCCGGCGGTGACCGGCGGGCCGCCGCGTCCGACGGTCCGCCGAGTCACTGGCAAACCTTGACACACCGTGAGTTGGTGACCGCGCCGCCGTTACTAGTTACGGGCGGCTACCGTAGTACTACGGCGTGACCGACTGACTCGGCGGTGACTCATCATGGCATGATGGGGCCGAAAAGGTCACATTCAAGTCGACGTCACCGTTGCACTCAGGCTGGATTATAGCAGGCCATCATCTGGGACTTTAGGAGTCGGACGGACTCATCACTGTGTCTAACTAGTACCGCACATCGCGATCGGGTGTTAGGATCTAATGCCGAACTAATGCCGTACTGATTGTCACGTTGCACTTTCAAATGGTCAAAACTTTTTGTTGACATCATCATGTCCATTACTACCTTAAGTTGCAATCGTTCCGAGTTTATTATCGATAGTCAAATCGGTATTATGACCCATGTCACACAGGAAAATCGCTGCTGTCGATTTTTTCAGTTCCAAACTTAAATATACGCAATCCGGTTGGGTCAAAATCTCACTTCTCTAATACTTACTGTATTGTACGCTTATCCTCTTGCTGTAAAGCCCGTCGAAGGAAAATTACAGCCAACAAATTTCCTCCCTTTCACACTCAAGTGTTCTGTGGTCTGTTCGAAGCGTCCCAAGCACGTAGCTTCTCAAGCGACTCAAGCGACGTCGAAGCTTGCTGTGCTCGCAGCACAGCACTTCTCCTTAGCCCTTGAAGACTGACAAGACCGCCGCTGATGTTTGTTTCTTCCCTCCCTTTGACAAGCTGATTGCCATATTCCGTTGTCATGTCTTTGGCTTCACCAACACCTGCTACTTCCGGTGGCAATGCTCCACTATCCGCATTTGCAATCGCTGGAGCGGAAGCCTTGTCTGCCAAACTCGCACTGGTCATCAACTCTGCGGCGCGTGCAAGACGGTCTCTGCCTTCTGAAAGCATCGGGACATCCTCATTAGGCCTTGGACGCGCACTGCTGTTGACGCTTGCACCGGTTACAAATGCCTTTGCCTTCAAAGGAGCACTAGTAGTGCTGTTTTCGACATCAACACTTGCCATGACCTGCGCTGCCCTTGCCAGCCTTTCATTGTCTGCAGTACTAGCAAAAGCTATCAATTCAGCAGACCTTGCAAGATGTTCGTTGATGTTGCTGCTGGAGGGCACCCATTCTTCCACTGGCCTTGCGAGGATCTCATGTCCCATGTTCGCCATGTTCTGCAGATCAGCTGCTGCCGCTTGAAACCCTCCCTCAACATTCATACTTTGTTGCGAGCCCCCCGCCGTTGTACCCGGATTTTTCTTTGCCTGCTGCGGACGCGGAGGACACTCTTTACACCGAGATTTCTGCCGTAAGTGAACACAAAGGCTAGACCCTCTGCAATCTCTGCACCCTCCTCGCTGCCTCTTGTGGATGCATATACCAACTCCACCACATTCTTTGCAACGAGACTTCTGTCTTCCATGCACACACAATCCTCCGCCCCCGCACTCCCTGCAAGCTGATTTTTGTTTGCCATGCATACACACTCCACCACCTCCACATTCCCTACATCGTGATCGTTGCTTGTCGTGAGGGCATATACTTCCGCCACCACAGACTCTGCATTGAGTTCGTCGTTTGCCGTGCTCGCAGATGCTCCCTCCTCCACATTCAACGCATCTAGACTTCTGTTTATGATGCTGGCAAATGCCTCCGCCCCCACAGGGTTTGCAGCCAGAGCGCTGTATCCCATGCACACAAATGCTGCCCCCACCGCAATCCTTGCATCGTGATCTTCGCCTTCCATGAACGCAGATGCTTCCTCCTCCACACTCCTTGCATTGTGATCTTCTCCTATCATGATGACATCTGCTATTTACGCCGCAGATCTTGCATTGTGACCTGTTTCTGTCATGCTCACAGATGCTGCCTCCTCCACACTCTTTGCATCTAGATCTTTGCTTCCTGTGTATGCATATACTGCCTCCACCACAGTCTCTGCATCCAGATTTCTGTCTACCGTGAATACATAAATCACTTCCCCCACAATCTTTGCATCTGGGTCGTGGCTTGCCATGGGGACACAATTTCTTTTTCTTGCACTCCTTGCATTCAGATTTCTTGGAGCCATGCTCGCATGTGCCCCCCCCGCACTCCTTACATCGAGATTTTGGTTTGCCGTGTTCACACTTGGGATGTTTGCTTTGCTTCTCCTCACCCGCACTAGAGCCCTCAAGTTTGCGCTTGCCTCCCACTGCTGTCTCATCCGCATTCGTATCGGCTGTTGGCTTATCAGTGCTATCAGTTTCGGCCTTGCCTGAGCCGTCTGGAGCATCTGGCTTGTCTGCTACTGCCACTGCAGCTTTGCTTTTATCTTTTGGAGGCCTGCCCCTACCCCTGCCTGCTGGCTTGCTCGGGTCTTTGGGAGGCCTGCCCCTACCCCTCCCTTTGGCAGGAGGAGCATCTTTGCCGTCTGCCCCTTCTTCCAGGCTTTGTGTCACCGGTTGAGCAGCAGAACTTCCTTCCACTGGTGGATCTTTTTTCTCCGCCACCAGCTCATCTCCCTTGCCCTCTGAAGTTGACTTGTCTGCATTATCCGATGCTGCCGTCTTGTCTGTCTTATCTGATGCAACTGGCTGTTCAGCCCTGTCCTCTGTCATAGCGTTATTCCCCTTATCCTCTGCCATTGGCTGACTTCCTGCTTGCCATGTCTCAGCTGGCATGGTGGGGGGTTCTTTTGCTAGCTGGGTGGGCGTCTGCCCTGCCTGCACTTCAGTATCTACGTGCATAGCTGTCTGCTGTTCCATCTCCTTCACACGCTCTTGAGGCTGCGATGTCTTCTGCTCCGCCATGTTCACATCGTCATCTTGTCTCACGTCATTGCTATCACTGCCGCTCTCTGTATCGTCCGCTGCCATTGCCGCTTCGACCGCGAGGCTCGTGCCCCTCATCCTTCCTGCACCCACCCCTACCCCCACCCCCACCTCTCACACCCTACCCCCTGATGTAATTGCACCCTCATACCACTACCCTCCTTATGACCTCCAGCACCCTATTTTCACCCCTGCGGAGCTAGTCGTACCCTTCATTAAACATCATTTCACCCGGTACCATGATGGCCCTGATGCGAATCCTGTAGGAAACATTTGCCTACCCCTGGTGTTGATTTTACTACCCCTCCTTGTATAACCCCTACCCGGAATTCCTAACGCTCAAACGTTCCACAAGAGCTTCCACAGAACGTTTGACCCTACCCTTGGTTCGACCCTATTCTCAGAGGAGGACTACCGGTATTAAAGTACCCCCACCCTCTCCAGAACCCACCCCTCACCCCCCACCCCCTTTTACTATATCTCCGTGAATGCAGGGGCGATTTGAACTGCTGTACCAATTTATGTTTATGGACTAAAAAATATGTAAACTTGAATTTATTTTTGAAAACTTTTTTTTTGATGCCGCAAGTTGACTGCAATAGGAAACTACTTGATGAGAAGTTCTGCCCTACTATCTTACTTAGGTAAGTCCTGATGCGGGTGTCTTCGACATACATCTCGATTGAGAATAAAAAAAAAGGGACTCGTCGCTGGCGCTGCGGCCATTATTAATTAAACTTGGCAGGAGAAAGAGGCCGCCTGTCTCTGATAAAGTGGGTCCCATGATGTCGCCGATAGCCGTCAACTGAGAGAGGGGAACAGCTTGCAAAACTGATCAGAGTCGGACTCGGAGATGAGATCTATCAGGTCGATGATATGGAGGGGGAGGAAGGGATCATTCCTGCTTCGTGTGCTCCTTGCTCTCGTGCTCTTTTCTGCACTCCTCCAAGCCTTCTTCATCTCGAACCTTGGTCAAGCCGGTGGATCTGAGGCTTCTCGCCGTCGTGCCAGCGAAGGTTGCAGTCTGAACGGGTATGTACACAGGTGTACCCGTCTGTCTGACATCCTCGAGGGGTTCGACCGAGTCAAGTCGTACTTCTCCGAGTGGGTCGCAGGCTCGAGCCCGAGGTTGGACTGTTTGACTGACAGAGAATCACGGGGAGTTTGCAAGAAGGGAGAGTTTCTATGCCTGGACCCCGGCGCGCGTTTGCTGGATCAGAAGGTCTTGGACGAGAACAATGTGACGAGGAACTATTGCTTCCTCGAACGAATGTGGTCTTTATGTCAGCCGTCCAATTACGCGTCGAGCCGGCCTGACGATTGTTTGGACAGCGTCACATCGTATGGAGTTTGTGGAAAGGGAGAAAACCTCTGCGGGTGGGGGCAGCTCAACAAATTTTCTCCCTCGCTTCGAGCGAGGTTGCAGGTGCCCAAGGTGAAATCCAGGTGTATTGCTCAGGCTCTCCCTACAGGAGATGTCCATGTGGTCATTGCCATGAGAGATGCCTCGCCGACCATGAAGGTCGTCGAGGACATCGCCCTCATGGGGCTCACGAACAGCATCGTCTTCCTCTACAGGAGAGCGGACAGCGGACTCAACGTCGCCGGGACGGTATCATCCGCTCCGATCGCAGGCTTTCCTTGCGGGCTGACAGTCGTCGAGAAGTTGTTAGTTCCTAACAGAGGCAACGAAGCTGCTGCCTATCTCGCACACATTGCGGAGTATTACGACAATCTCCCTTCCTTCCTCGTCTTCATGCACGACCACGGCATTCGTAGTTGGCACAGTGAGCTCAGGCCGATGTTCAAGAGGACTCGGGCTTTCTATCTCCTGATGGCCTCGAAACTCCAAGGAGCGGATGGGAAACCTGTCTATCCTGAGCTGTCACAGTTCCCTTCCTACCCGTACGTGCGGCGATTCACAGAGAACGTCGTCACTTTGAACAGTTGCTACTGCAGCAGGTTGAAGGAGCCTCTCTGCTGGGATAAGTACACTATGAACGCCTATGAAAGGGACACCAATCGAACGGTTCATGATCCTAAAAGCGAAGAGCTGCATCACAGGTGCAAACGGGTGGTACAGTCCTTGAGGATCCAGAAGTCAAACCTCTCCCACTCAAACCTCTCCCAGTCTGAGGGCCCGGGCCCGGGACTCGAAGGTCGGCGACTCTTGTGGCAAGAGCCCCCCGAGGCCATTCAGCAATCCGACAAGATTTTCCGGAGGATTCTTGACAGGCGGGGGCAACCAAAGAGGATGCCAGACGGCGCTCAGGATGTGCCGTTCTGGTCCTGTTGCGCCATGTTCATCACGCAGGCAAGGCAAGTGCGAAGGCAGCCGAGGCAGTACTACCTGGAAAGCCTTGACGCGCTCTTGTCGACCAACCAACTTTCACACTTCACGGGGAGGTGGTTCGAGTTCAACTGGTATGAACTCCTTTTTGACCCTGCAGGCGGCTCAGACCCGTTGCGACCGAGACTGTACCTGGAGATCGACGACGTCTATGCGGAAATCTATGATGAAAAGAACCCGCTGGAGGATTTACAGCAGTTTCTTGACGCCTGATGCTTTCGTGGTCGCACCCTCCTGGCAAGACGTTGAAGTGAGTGGCTCCCTGTCAAAATCATCCCTGCCAGGCTCGACGCAAATGCCATTATTGCCTCTTTGCCGGCGGTCATGGCGGCTTGTAAGTTCACAGCCTGTCAACTTCACGTGGACCGTGCCCGGCGCAGTGCGCGGCGAACTGGTGGACATGGGAGCTCGGCGGGGGCGGACCCATCATGTCCGAGGCAAGGTGGGCCGATCAGCCGGGCTGTGAATGACGATCAGCCGTTGAGCCCTAGCCTGTACAAAGTGCACAGTTCAAGAATACAAGCAAATCCTCCCGTACTTGCGTACCCCCCCGACGAGCGGAAGCAAACAGCCACTTCAATGCGGTGGCACCCACCGGTTGAACCGTGGGAATCCATGTCAGAGGCACAAGAACAGACTCTCCTGCTTGTCCTCGTTCTGACTTGACTTCACTTTTGGAGAAACTTGCGGAAGTAAGTTTAAGATGATCCCGGGAGACAGGCCCGGCCGGTTGAACCGTGACCGACGGTACCCCCCGGTGACCCGTCGGTGAAGAGTCCAAGGCTGGAACATGCCTGGGCCTGGTCACCTACCAGGCTAAAGCAACCTAGACCACCCTCCAGCATTTGATTTGCCACGGCCCAAGTTTCGACCGGCGGCACCCTTCGGCCCGGAATCATTGAATGAGTGCCGTCGGTCGAAACTATCAGAACTTCGCCGGAGGCCGCCCGGCCCACTCACCGTCGTGCTGACTCTGCCGGTGTGTTTCGACTCCTCGGGCCGAGTGACCACTGTGCGGCCTTTGCCACGGTGCACTCACGCCACCGCCGCCGGGGGCGTACGGTCACGCACAGGCTGCCGCGGCCGCCGCAGTGCGGAGTCCGACCGGGCCGGGGCCCGGCGGCCGTCCGTCCCGGCAACACTGCCCCGTGACGGCGGTGAGCAGTGGCACATGCAGTCACGAACGCATCCCCACGGGCCCACTCCCGGCCCGCCGGGCTTGAGAAACCGTGAACCGTACTACCGTACGGCCCGGTACTTCAAGACTAGTTCAGTTAGTACCACGGTAAACTTCGTACGGTGCCCCGACTCCGAGTGTCTGCACCTTCGGGCTGCCAGCAGTGACAGCCTCGCCGTCCGACCGTGCGGCAGCCGCATCCCGGGGCCCCGTCACGGTAACTCAGTAAGTTACTCGGCGGATCGGACGGTCGCCGCTGGGGGCTCAGTGGGGGTCCGGCCCGCCGGGATGCGATGACTCGGGCTCTGAGGCAGACTATCAACTGCAGGCGTTTCCAGTAGTCAACCGCCAGCAGCAGCTCAGGGCCTATGGGGGGGGAGAGAGAGAGAGAAAGAGAGAGGACAGGAAAGGACAGGACAGGACAGGACAGGACAGGACAGGACAGGACAGGAGAGCAGCAGCAGCAGCAGCAGCAGCAGCAGCAGCAGCAGCAGCAGCAGCAGCAGCAGCAGCAGCAGCAGCAGCAGCAGCAGCAGCAGCAGCAGCAGCAGCAGCATCAGCAGCAGCAGCAGCAGCAGCAGCAGCAGAGGTGAACGAGAGGAGACGAGAGTGATAATGATCAGTGATGGAGACGAGAGGATGATGAAGAAGAAGGGGAGGACGGAGGAGGAGAAGGAAGAGGAACTTGAAGAGGAGGAAGAAAAAGAAGAGAGAAGCCGAGAGAGTCACGAACAGATCATGAGGAGGAGAGAGAGCAGGAGCAGGAGGGGAAAGAGAAACAAGAAGTCAGGAAGTGAAGTGAAGTGAAATAGGCAGCAGAGAGAGTAGAGAAGAGAACGGGGAGTGAAGATAGGGAAAGCGAGAGAAATGGGAGAGGGGAGAGGGGAGAGGGGAGAGGGGAGAGGTGTGTCAATACATTCCGGTCACCAAGGAGCACATAACAGCTCGGTTGTCTTCCCTAGAGTGACTTTTACCAGCAGAGTAGTCGATGGTCTGAAGAGGATCAGGTGAATCTGTGACGAAAAGCAGCACGAGGAGATCGAGGGAGGAGCGAGTAAGAGCAGGAGGGGAGCGGGTCAAGGAGTCAAGCTTCATCGTCAAGGTCTCTCCTCGACATCGTCGTCAGCCTCCCAGCCTTGTGCTCGTCTCCTCCGCGTCGGGATGGAGAATGCGGGAGATGAAGTCAGGGGGTCAGGGGTCAGGGGCATGAGGCCGCCAAAGTCACTTCCGGTCAGCTCGAGATCCTCGAGCCGAGCAGGCAGCCGGGCAGAGGGTGAAGAGGGGAGGAGGGTTTTAGGAGGAGAGGAAGGAAGAGACAGGCGGACGAGGACGGTAGCGGAGGCGACGAGAGTGCTGCCCTCACGATCGATGAGCCGCACGACACTCAGCGAGGGCAGGGGAGGCTCTGTGTCAAGGGGGGGGAGCAGAGGGAGCGAGAGAGGAGGGGAGAGCGCGAGGGGAGGGGAGGCAGCGATGAAGCAGGAAGGGAAGCATCAGCCTTCACTGGGAACTGAGACGAGGCGCAAAAAACGAACTCAGCTCGAGCTGGAGGAGCTGAAGCAGAAGCTGCATGACGACGAGGGGAGACCGTTCAGCCGGCTGCAGAAGCACCTGCTGGACAAGCAGGAGGAGGACGAGAAGCTGTCGCTGCAGCAGGCTCTTCTTGACGCCACTGGGATGTCGCTGTCGGAAGGGGCGATGGAGGAGCTGGGGAGGCTGAGCGGAACTTATCGAGACTATTCGAAGATCCTCAACAGCCTGTGGGATGAAAGAATGTTACATAGACAGACTGAGGTGGAGGAGAAGCGCAAGGGCCCCTCCCACGCTCCCCGCTACCTCTTCTTCTACAACCGACCTGCGGGCTTCTACAACGACAACATCGAGCCCTCCCCTCACTTCTACGGGGTGAAGAAGAGCAGCTCGAGTGTGCGGTACAACCTCTTCACCAACGAGAGGACGGACATGCTGGCCAAGACCCTCCCTCGCTCCTTCGTCGACCGCCTCGATGCCGAGATGAAGATTGTTCCTGCCAATCACCCCGTGACCAAACGACCTCTCGACCCCTGGCTGTGCCATCTCTCCATAGGGCAGGTATGACCCCTCCTCCCTCCCATCTAGAGCTGACTATGCCTCTCCTCCTTCCTCTCCTTCTTCTCTCACTCCCCCCTCGTCCTCGTCCTCGTCCTCGTCCTCGTCCTCGTCCTCCTTCTCCTTCTCGCTCGGCAGGGCAAGAAGTGCATGAATGTCGTCGAGCCGCTCGGGTCGCACCATGGAGTTCACAGGCGCCGCGAGGGCGAGGGAGCTCTCCCCACCATCTCCGTCTGCTTCTCGCGGTTTCACAAGGGATACTGGCCGGGAGCAGAGAAGTTGAACATGATCGTGTAGGAGAGGAGAGGAGAGGAGAGGAGAGGAGAGGAGAGGAGAGGAGAGGAGAGGAGAGGAGAGGAGAGGAGAGGAGAGCAGAGCAGAGCAGAGCAGAGCAGAGCAGAGGAGGGGAGGGGAGGGGAGGGGAGAGGGGAGGAACGAGGGAATTGGATAGAATAGGACAAGTGTGAAGAGTGATAACAAAACAAGGTTATGAGCCGCTATCTCACAGACGAGACGAGATGTCTTTGTTCTCAAGAGAGAATGGTCTCCAGCTCCTCCCACTCAGCATACAACTTGTCTAGATCGCCCTGGAGCGACTGCAGCAGCAGCAGCAGCAGCAGCAGTAGTCAGTCAGAAACAAGCAGCAGAAGCAAACGCAGGAGTTACATCTCGTTTGCTCTGGAGCTCGTAAAGAGCCTCCACGTTGCTCCCCTTCGCCACCATGTCTGCGTCGATCTGAGCGATCTGATGGCTCTTGTTAGATGGGCAGCAGCAGCAGCAGCAGCAGCAGCAGCAGCAGCAGCAGCAGCAGCAGCAGCAGCAGCAGCAGCAGCAGCAGCAGCAGCAGCAGCAGCAGCAGCAGCAGCAGCAGCAGCAGCAGCAGCAGCAGCAGCAGCAGCAGCAGCAGCAGCAGCAGCAGCAGCAGCAGCAGCAGCAGCAGCAGCAGCAGCAGCAGCAGCAGCAGCAGCAGCAGCAGCAGCAGCAGCAGCAGCAGCAGCTCCGTCACCTTCTGCTCCAGCTTCCCCACTTCCTTCTCTATCTTCTCGATCCTCTTCGGCGCGTTTCCTCTCTTCTTGTTTGCCTGCACAAGACTCAGTCAGACTCCTCCCTGGTCCCTGGTCCCTCCTCTCCTTTCCTTCATCTCTCCCTCTCCTGCGCTCCCCGCCTTCTTGTCCCCTCTTTCCGCTACATCACCTCATACGCTGCTCG